TACTATTACATCGAAGATGTATTGGTCCTAAATTCCAATATTTTATTAGTATACGCGTTACCCATTGATTTTTGAAATATTCATGAAATTCAATTAATAATTTATCAGATGATGGTACATTTTCAATCAATAATTCAATAGAAGAATCAACCGCATTGTTCATTATTAATGGTAATGCCATCAAACTCTTCAACCAAATTTTAACTTTTTCATTATTTTCATACATACTTGTTAATCCAATCTTTTGAATATTTCGAAAAATAGATTGAGTGAAATGATACCAACATTCATGGATAGAAATATCAGGAAACTAAAAAACACAAAAAAAAACATTTTAATGGCTTCATTTATAGGCCAATTACGTGGATGAGCATCATTTTTTCGTCTTTAAACAAATAACTTACTATTTTTTCCAACGCGTTAATTGTTCCAACTTCCAAATCCAAATAAGCATATTGCGGTTCAAATTTAAGACAAAAATCAGTTGATTTTTTTTTAAAACTTTGAAAATTTTTTCATAAACTTTTTGGGTTCTTTTTGGCGTAAGACACCATACCAATGGAATTGCTAAATAAAAAAACTCATTTTAGTACAAATAAATGCGGAAACTTCGGATTTAAATCCGAGAGTTATGTGTACTTCAAAAAGTGAATTAGACAGATAAGTCATCCTGGAATGTCTTGACATCAAAATTACACTGGGGAAACTTTCCTATAAACTGTTGTTTTCTATTGGCTATTGTCCAACCAATAGGGCTTGGGAGCGAATACAGCTCAGATTTGTACTCTTCGCCTTGATTTACCCTGAGAAAGTCATTTTTTCTATAACTTGATTTCTATTGGTCACTGTTCAACCAATAGTATTTCGAGGCAAGTGGAGCACAGATTCGAGTTCTCCGCCCCAGAAAACCTTAAAGTATCATCTCGATGACCGAAAGATAGAGCTTTATTTGTGAATCAATTAGAGCATGGACAAAAACAGAACCTATTGCCGTTTAATTATCTTTGTAATAGGTGGGTTAGCCTTCTCGTTCCTTTATGTTTTATATACCATTTTGTAGCTCGTGAAATTCTCTATCGAATGGTATATAATAGTTGGGGTTTTATTTGACTATGATGGGAAAAGTTGTTTACGAAAGCTGGGATGGGTCGATTTTCGCATAGGAAGCCATAGGGAAAAATGACTATTTTTGCAATAACTCACGAATGGCTCGGCCGATCATGCTCATCTTCGAACTCGACCGAGACATTGTTAAGACTAAACTGTGTAAAAAATTTCATCGTGATCTGACTCTCCTTTCAAAAGTTATCGTGTATACGGACGGACGGACGGACACACTGACCGATTCTAGAGTGTACTCACTTTTTGAGTACACAATAAAAATGAAGCTGATCTGAATAAAAAGCGTATACATACCTGCATCGAGATGCTGGCCCATTATAACACATACCTGAGAAAACATAATAGGACGTGTTTTAAATGTACCATCAATTAATATAACTTCACAACTACATAACATTTTAATCAATACTTCGGTGGTAAAAATCATTAATCGTCCACCTAATTTTTTATGTGTTGAATCATAGGTTAAAAATTGTTCTCCACTATACGTTTTTGAATATGATTCTGGAACTTCAAAATCCAATGATTTTGGATTAGATGGCAATGTTTTTGCACGAATTTCATAAAATGTTGAAGCTAAAAATATAAAAGAATAGATCTATATTTAACTTCCTACAGACATGACATTCAACATGCAAGTTAAGTGTATCTACATTGCTTATCTTGTGCTGTTAGTAACAAAAAATGTTGTCGATCACCATCGTTCAAATTATTTTTTACATATTCATCGTCT